ATTACTGATTACAACTACTGACATAATCATCTGACTGATTATAACAACTGACATAATCATCTGTCTGATCACCTGACTGATCACAACAACTGACATAATCACTGTATTAATCACATCAACTCTACTACAATAGCTATGGTAAGTCTTTTTGTTTACAGTGACCTCACAATACCTTTTTACGACACCAGGCTTTTATCTGAATACACACAGTATCTCTGATATTGCAAAACAAAAATTAGCACTCACCATCTAGACTCATCACCTCATTGGCAATCAATTCTGGTGTCTGTTCATACTTCAAAATTACTTTCTCACACCACTTAGAGTGCAGTTCATGACGCTAAAATTGAATAATATAATTAGAAAGTAGACTCAAACTAAAGGTAAAAAATGTTTAGAAATTAATATTTGTACCGGTAATATGAAATATATGATAGCAAATATAATGTAACACCATGTGAAAGTGAAAGACACTACAATAGAAGTGGTGGCAATATAACATAGATTTGTATACTGCATGGTTCTCTCCAGGGCATTACAGAGTAGGCATCCTCAATTCTTTATTTTGGATGAACAATAGAACCAATTTAGCATAACAATGAATACAACAGATGTAATTAATATATTCTGTTATTTTTCAAATTAGTCTGTGCTATTTTTCTGGGAGGACATAATGGATTCAATTTGAATCCTTACAAAATGATGTAAATCTATACACTAAATGTATGGAATGTCTTCAGTATGAACTTCAATTGGTTGATATGGAAACACCAATTTGTATATGAAAATGACTTTGCAAAGAAAGGAATAAAAAGCAAAAAGAATCACATCTTTGTGTTAAAATTTGTTAAAGAATGTCTTTGGTTAATGCAGTAATATTGACCCATGAACACAATAACTAAGCCACAATTGTGGTCATAATAGCCAGTCAATACACCAGCACCCCTGCCTAAATTACACCCATGACATTGGCAAACACTATTGTTAGCCATAATGAACAGCAAACTTAGTCACACATAGAACAACATTGTTGTAAATATATATAAACCTGAACCCATAGTAAATTCAAAAACCAAACCAAATGATGACATCATTCCTATAACATCACCTCAACAAACATGTCTATTTTTACCAATTTCCATTTCAATAGATCATGTTTATTTCAGTGAAGAAGCAATGAGGTGAATAAAATGGGAGAATTTAGCATGACATTTGAAACATGCATATAATAGTTATACTATATATACTGTGAATATACCTGTTCCTCAGGTGCCTAAAAAAAAATTAATTACATATATTAATATTAAGTATATAACTAGACTACATTACAGTTAATTTCATATTTTAATATCATATCTGCACGCAGAGGATTATTCAGATACATTGTATGCATACATACATACATCAGTTTTTTAAAAACAAAATTCACATAGAAGACAGAATTTAATTTAATTTAATTGTAGTAATTAGAACACTGACCTTCTGTTCATGTTGCATAAATGTTAAAAACTCATCTACTTCCCAGTAGTCATCGTCACCGGAATATCTAAATAGATTCAATCAATACATAATCAATAACCAATTCATAAGTGATCAATAAAGTCAGAGTATATGCTTTAAAGACTACCATTTTGATATTCACAAAACAGACAATGCATTGAAAAAAGCTACCTCAAATATGGACACCACAAAATGAAAATCATAACTAATTGCAATTGTATTTCTTTGATAATCTTACTTGTAAAATAGAGAAACAATCTCATCTCTGGCTGTGATTTTATGATAAAATGTAACAAACTCCTCAACATCAAGTTCATTGACCGCTGATTCTCCACTAGCCTTGGTACCAACACGAGTGTCAGCTGCCTACAAATACAGCAATGTTACCATGACAACCTAATAACATTTCATTCCTCATACACTGAATTACAATGTTCTTTATGGAAAATCATAAATCCTTGAAAATCTTTGTATTAAATTTAAATGAGCAGACAAAATTGGTTATGTTCATATGACTCTATGTTTCCCTTAATCATGGCAGATTTACACACAATGCATTGTGATTGGTCAATCATCATTTGAACTTCATAAAATTATTTATAAATGTTTTATTTGGAAAATTCGCATGACAATGTAAAATTCAGTGTACTTATAATTGTTATCTATATTATTCTGAATGAATTGACCTTTGACACAAACCTTAAAGATTCTTCTAACATGTCTTTTGTCAACTTTGAGATTCATATCTTTCAAGAGTTTGCAAATTTCTTCAAAATCAAGCGACCCATCACCATTCCTATCAGCTTTTTGAAAAAAGTCTCGTATCCATGTACACAAAATGATTAAAGAAAGTAACTGTGAATATCAAACAAGTTATGACATTTGGAGAAAATGTGAAGAATGTACTATGATATTGCAGAGCACTCTTCCTGTGCCATCTCAGCATTGAGATATTGAAAGAAAAAATGCCTGACAAATAAATGCAGTCTGTGTGTATTCTGAAAAGTTGAACTACAATACAAAATCATTGCATGACGTGGTATATGAAACAACATATTTGTCCCAGAAAAATGACAACAGGTAAGTGCAAATAAAATATTTAACTAATGAGCACCAAATCAACTTTTAGTGCCATTCACAAATTAGACTCGTAATTTTTTTAGATTTGTTTCAAAATTTTGAGCAAGACTTGTAGCCAATAGAACATAATGCCCATTTTGCATTGGAACTAATACATAGTCGTAATAAAGATATTGATTCTCAAAGTGTTGCATTGAAACTAATACATAGTCGTAATAAAGATATTGATTCTCAAAGTGTTGCATTGGAACTAATACATAGTCGTAATAAAGATATTGATTCTCAAAGTGTTGCATTGAAACTAATACATAGTCGTAATAAAGATATTGATTCTCAAAGTGTTGCATTGAAACTAATACATAGTCGTAATAAAGATATTGATTCTCAAAGTGTTGCATTGGAAAATACATAGTCGTAATAAAGATATTGATTCTCAAAGTGTTGCATTGAAACTAATACATAGTCGTAATAA